TAGGGGTGCCCCTGCCTCCGTATATAAAGGTTCAAGGGAGGGGGGCCGGCCGGCCAAGGTGTGGCGCGCCAGGAGGAGTCCTACTCCTTCTGGGAGTAGGACTCCCCCCCTTTCCTAATTGGAATAGGATTCGTGGAGTGGGAAAAGAGAGAGAGAAGGAGGGGGGCGCCGGCCCCCTCTCTCCTTGTCCTATTCGGACTAGGGGTGAGGGGCGCGCGGCCCAGCCCTGGCTGCCTCTTCTCTTCTTCCACTAAGGCCCACTAAGGCCCATATACTTCCCGGGGGGTTCCGGTAACCTCCCGGTACTCCGGTAAAATCCCGATTTCACCCGAAACACTTCCGATATCCAAACATAGGCTTCCAATATATCAATCTTTATGTCTCGACCATTTCGAGACTCCTCGTCATGTCCGTGATCACATCCGGGACTCCGAACAACCTTCGGTACATCAAAATGCATAAACTCATAATATAACTATCATCGTAACCTTAAGCGTGCGGACCCTACGGGTTCGAGAAAAATGTAGACATGACCGAGACACGTCTCCGGTCAATAACCAATAGCGGAACCTGGATGCTCATATTGGCTCCTACATATTCTACGAAGATCTTTTATCGGTCAGACCGCATAACAACATACGTTGTTCCCTTTGTCATCGGTATGTTGCTTGCCCGAGATTCGATCGTCGGTATCCCATACCTAGTTCAATCTCGTTACCGGCAAGTCTCTTTACTCGTTCTGTAATACATCATCTCGCAACTAACTCATTAGTTGCAATGCTTGCAAGGCTTAAGTGATGTGCATTACCGAGAGGGCCCAGAGATACCTCTCCGACAATCGGAGTGACAAATCCTAATCTCGAAATACGCCAACCCAACATGTACCTTTGGAGACACCTGTAGAGCTCCTTTATAATCACCCAGTTACGTTGTGACGTTTGGTAGCACACAAAGTGTTCCTCTGGCAAACGGGAGTTGCATAATCTCATAGTCATAGGAACATGTATAAGTCATGAAGAAAGCAATAGCAACATACTAAACGATCGGGTGCTAAGCTAATGGAATGGGTCATGTCAATCAGATCATTCAACTAATGATGTGATCCTGTTAATCAAATGACAACTCTTTGTCCATGGTTAGGAAACATAACCATCTTTGATTAACAAGCTAGTCTAGTAGAGACACACTAGTGACACTCTATTTGTCTATGTATTCACACATGTATTATATTTCTGGTTAATACAATTCTAGCATGAATAATAAACTTTTATCATGATATAAGGAAATAAATAATAACTTTATTATTGCCTCTAGGGCATATTTCCTTCAATCACTTTCTATTTTACACATGGTTCACTTTGAGATTTCAAAAATTATTAATGGGCCAAGCCCGTTTAATTCTAACACCCAAACCGAAAGAATCCGAGGAGCAACTAGTTAACGAGCGCTCCTTCGGGAGCCTCGCAACGATCAGCGCCACTTGGCGCGCTCTCAGCCATTCGCCACGTGTCGCGTTCTGGATGCTCCTTTCGGATTTTATTTTTTTATTTTTCCACACGCGTTTTCGGCTTTTTAAACGGTTTTTTCCCGGGTTTTTTCGATGTTTTCGTTTCCCTCCGGTCTTTCTTAGCTTTTCAATCAAAAAAAATTCAAAAAAAAAATTCGTGAAAAAACGCGTTTTCTTTTTTTTCCTTTCGCAAAAGTCACGGTTGTGTTTTATCGAGAGTCATGGTCGTGCCTTTCGGAAACGAAAAAAATGCGTTTTCTGTTTATTTTTTTTGCGAGAGTCACGGTTTTTCTTCCGCGAGAGGCACGGTTGTGCTTTTGCGAGAGTCACAGCTGTGCCTCTCGGAAAGGAAAAAAAACGCGTTTTCTGTTTTTTTTCTTTCGTGAGAGTCACGGTTTTGTTTCCGCGAGAGGCATGGTTGTGCTTACGCGAAAGTCACGGCCGTGCCTCTCGGAAAGGGAAAAAATACGTGTTTTCTGTTTTTTTCTTTTACGAGAGTCATGGTTTTGCTTCCGCGAGAGGCACGGTTGTGCTTTCGCGATAGTCACGGCCGTGCCTCTTGAAAACGAAAAAAAAACGTGTTTTCTGTTTTTTTTCCTTTCACGAGAGTCACGGTTTTGCTTCCACAAGAGGCACGATTGTGATTTCGTGAGAGGCACGGGCGCCCGTGCCTCTTTCGAAAAGAGAAAAAACCATGCTTCCGGTTCGGTTTTTTTCGTGAAAAAAAAGTTCGTCAAAACCTATCAACATGGGATCTAGTTTTGAAGATCTCGACGCGAGGAATCCAATGGTGAAAACGGTTCGATATTTGGACGCACGGTTTAAGAGATAAAACGTTTTGAATAAACGGATCTACGAAAAAAGGGAAAACACCCAGGTTGCGACAAGTGGCGTGCTGCATGTGCGCCACTTGTCGCGACCTAGGAAAGTGAAGTGTTCTTTGCAACGAGTACTCCTTAATTAGTGATTTCGAAGAATCCGTTCGCCTCTCGCGTTTCCTAAATGGGTCGGGCCAGTGCAAAGGAGTGTTGGCTTGCGAGCCCACGTCCTGTTGGTTTTTCTTATCTTTTGTCATATGAAACATCCATTGCAATTTCACAAAAATACTGATAGCATTCACAAAAATATTTGTGTCACTTCAAAATGTTCACAGGTCTCAAAAATATGTTTGTGGCATTCAAAAAAAATGGTCATCCAATGTAAAAAATGGTGGCATAACTTAAAAAAAATTGTTTGTGAGATTTACAAAAACAATCATGCATTTGAAAAATATGTTCATGACATTTGTCAAAACAATTATACAATGTAAAAACATGTCCAAATATATATTTTAAATTTCAAACTATAAAAAAATTTGACATTTTTAAAAACTATTACCCACTCTACCATATTTATTATTGCCGATTTAGTAGAAAGTTGCACAAAATCAATGATAATTAATATAGATCGAAGGTGCCAGTACAATCTAAATGTTCATGTAATTTTTAGAAAATGTTTTGTACCACTACCAAAATGTTCAATGTGTATTCAAAAATATCTAAATATTAGTTAAATGATTTGTTATAACCTGAGTTTTAAAAAACTATGCATCATGTATATAACTTTTTTATTATTTATTAAAATATTACACATGTATACAAAAAATGTACAATTGTTTCGACATGTATTCAAGGAAAAAAGGAGACAAAACAACAAAAAACATATTCCCAAAACTGGTCCGCGGAACCTTCCCAAAACTGATCTAGTGAGTTACTGTGTTCGATTAGGTACACTAGAGTAGTTGGAGTTCGCGGGAACCACCGGTGATGGATGTTGGCATTTTCTATTACATGCTCCGTGCGACTAAAATCACACACGGGAAGCCAGCCACGCAGCCCTGTACCTTACTGGTCGGTTTTTAACGGGTTATAGAAACATTCTAGAAGGTTCTGGTCCGTTTTTTTTTTGATTTTTTGTCTTTTTTTAATCGTTTTCTTGTATTTTAAAATATTAAAAAATGGTTTATGAAAAATTCAAAATTAAAAATCCTTTAATTTTTAAGATGTTTGCAAATTCAAGAAATTTTTCATGTTTTTACATAATGTTTAAAAAATAAAAATCTTCACGTTCAAAATGTTTTTGTAATTAAAAATTTTCCCCAAAAATGTTCATATGGTTTCGAAAATCATTCACATATATCTTCAAAAATGTTTTGAAATTTAAGAAAGAATGTTTTTAAATCGAAGGAAAAATGACGGAAGATTAGTAAAAGCGATAGAAACTATAAAAAAAACATAGGCTCGCTCGCTACATTGCGCTTGCATGGGCCTGCCCACCAGGACGCTACTTGTGCAGCACCCCTCCCATATCATGCAACGACCATCAAATAGGAGGTTCCATGTATGTTGTCACGTGGAAATATGGGGAACAGAGAGATCCTTTCGTTATATTAAAAGAAAAGAAAACCAGGGATCCGGGGGTATCTACCGCGGCTGGACGGCATCACCAACATGCTCAACTGTTCAGGCGCCATCGATCAGCCTCCACAATTCCAAACTATTGGCGATTTGATGGAAGGATCTTCACATGGTGATCGATGAGTAAGGTTTGTCGAGGGTGATGTTGCCAATGAGGAGTGGTTAGATGTCGAGGTTTAAACTAGGGTTGGTTTGTGTTAGGGATGGGTATTTGTTGCACAACCCGCCAAATGTTGTTGGTGTCATGTATCGATGGATGACTTTAGTTCCGTACATTTTCTGTAATAGAAAGGTAGACGACTCGCTTCGGCATTTGCATGATAATATACATGAAAAGGGCATTTGCAGCTAAGTTATCTTTCGATGAAATTATGAAATATTTTTCGACCTCTCAGCAATCGTAGAAAAATTTAGACTAATACACCCCCACCCCCACCCCGAGCTTTGCCATTTGGACAAAATCAGGTTGTTATACCATAGCAACATGTGCAATTTCCCGTTTAAGAGAACAGAGGAGGCGATGTTTTGAAAGAAGAAGAAGAAGAAGAAGAAGAAGACAACGACCGATAGAAGCGGGTGACAACATGTGGTAAATGAATCGACACGGACAAAACTGCAAGCGTCTGTTGCAGTTAGGTCGCCCCCTTTTGGAACGCACCGATTACTAGCTTGGATTTATGTCGAACAAAACAGGGGGAGTGCTTCGTGGCCAAGGAAGAAAAAGTTGCAAGAAAGAATACAAACTTTCAAGGAGTAGGAGTAGTAGTAGTAGTAGTATTTGCATGGACGGATGGCGCGTCAACACACGGGACTCCTTCCCCAGCTGGCTTTGGGAACGTCCAAAGTCGCCCCGTCCCCTTCTCCGTTCAAAGCAAACCTCCTTCTTCTTCTTCTTCCGTCCGTCCCCTTTCCACTGGTTTCACGCGTCCAGACCCGATCGAGCATCCAAATTGCTCCAGGGAGCATCCAACTCGGAGCAGAAGAGATCGCATCGCCCGACTAGCTAGCTCCGGGCCGAGCAAGCAAGCAAGCAAGCGATGGCGCCGGTGGTGTCGGCGCTGGCCAAGTACAAGCTGGTGTTCCTCGGCGACCAGGCGGTGGGCAAGACCGCCATCATCACCCGCTTCATGTACGACAAGTTCGACGCCACCTACCAGGTCTCCTCCTCTTTCTCTTCGATTTGCAAAGCTCCCCATCGATCGATCGATCGCCCCAACCTCGTACGATTGGCAAATTCTGACCGCCTGCTGTGGCTCTGTGTGCAGGCCACCATCGGGATCGATTTCCTCTCCAAGACCATGTACCTCGAGGACCGCACGGTTCGCCTACAGCTATGGTATGCGATGGTTCCTCGTTGAGCTGCCTTGTTTTGGTTGTAGTAATAATAAAATTCAGTTGTGCTGCATATGTCCAGCTGGTTATTTGTAAACTCTGACACATCGATGCTTGCTTAATTGCCATATTCGAGATTGGGATACTTTTTTTCATCACCGTTTCCATGAGAAAAAGAAAAAAGAACATGGATGTATTATTTTTCCAAGAAGAATATCTTTGCATTTCCGAAATCCAGATAATTTTGCCATATCTTTAGAGAAACCTGAAGTTTAGGTCCTGAAATTATGCTTGGCACATTGCGAAACAACACGCAGATACCAGTAATTTTTTCCCCTGGTCAACTGTTTGTAACTGTGAAAATGTGCAGGGACACGGCTGGGCAGGAGAGGTTCCGGAGCCTGATTCCGAGCTACATCAGAGACTCTTCGGTCGCGGTGATCGTCTACGACGTAACAGGCAAGTTACCTGTCTATGTCTTCACAAAATATACTCGCCAGCACAATAAGTAACTAGAAAGTAGTATCCCGATCTTAAATTTGTTTTGGAACTACTGTATTTCGTAGAGATGCATGAAATCTAAGCAGACATATAGATGAATCAGTCTGAACTATTTCTTTTTTTTTCTTTTTTTTTTTTGCGGGGCAGTCTGAACTATTTCAGCTGAGGGTAATTAGTTGCAGTGACATCCTCAACCACAGAACTGTATCTGACGATATGAAGAAAGCACACCAGCATGTATATATCATCCTCGTACACTGACGGCCTCGTACCACCAATTCTCTTCTTTTTTGCAGACACGCAATCGTTTCTGCATACATCTAAGTGGATCGACGAGGTGAACACGGCGAGAGGCAAAGACGTGCTGATTGTGCTCGTCGGAAATAAAACAGACCTCGTTGATCAGAGGTACGCATTATATACATATCACTGAATCTCTGTGGAGAAAGCCACACTGCACCAATCTTGGCGGTGGTTCATTTCCTTCTGTTTGTTTTGTTCGCCTGAACGTTGCCACGTGCAGGCAAGTGGCCACGGACGAAGGGGAAGCCAAGGCCAAGGAGCACGGCGCATTGTTCATGGAGACCAGCGCCAAGGCCGGCTTCAACATCAAGGTTCTCCCAACTTGTTTTTTATCTATTACTCCCTCTGTAAAGAAATATAAGATCGTTTAGATCACTAGGGAGTAGAATCTATTTCTCCAGCCATTTTGCATCTCCAACTCCAGCCAAACATCTGACCGTGAAAACTCGAACCCTGACTGCAGGCGTTGTTCCGGACGATCGCCACGAACCTTCCTGGTATGGACGCGCTCTCGTCGGCCAAGCAGGAGGACATGGTGGACATCAACCTGAGGCCGGCCTCCGGGCCAGCAGGCTCAGGCGCCGCCGCGCAGCAGGAGCAGAAAGCAGGAGGATGTTCTTGCTGAGCTTTGTGTTCTTTTATTAGAGGAGAGTTTGCGGGCAGACAGAGCAAGAATGTAATTTTGGCCAAAACAGATTGCGGACAGAGAAATGAAAAAAATTGTTTAGGCGTGAGAACGAAAAAAAAAGTTCGCCGTTGCCGGGGATCGAACCCGGGTCACCCGCGTGACAGGCGGGAATACTTACCACTATACTACAACGACTTGGTGATGATTTCCCGAATGTTGCCCACTAATCGGCAAGGACGGTCAGTTACTCGTGTGCCTTCGCTGCTGCCATGTTTCTGCCTTGCAAAATTCACCTCCATTGTGTGAGCTAGATGAATGGGATGATGTACTCTTCTTTTCACAGAACTACAACAGGGAAAACGCCAGCCTGATCCTAAATTTAGCTTTAGTCTAAGATTAACAGCCTGATTAACTGCAAAAGCAAAAAAAACCAGTGACGTACTTTTATGTCCAAGTATGGCAGCATGATTCACGAGCGTAGATTCATGTCGTCCGTTCTGGACGGTGAGGCATTTGATGAGTGACTTTTGACTTTTGATTTACCAAGGCGACCGTAATCAAGCACGGTGACATAACCAGAAGTGGGTGCATTTGATGAGTGACTTTTGACTTATAATGCACTTGCGAATGGTGTGCACAAAAAGTATGACTACATATGAGCACTGAACAATGTCGCTCATGCCTACTTCAGCCTGTTGTGAAATCTTCCTGTTTACAACGACATGAGAACACTTCTTGGTAGTCACTTCATGATTGGTCCCTCCCTTCACCAAGACTATCAACCCTACCCAGTGAGGCTCTCTCTCAATAAATAGTTTAGATTGAACAAACAATAATACTTCCTCCGTCACAAAATGTAAGACGCTTTTTAACACTACACTAGTGTCAACAAACGGCTTACATTAAGGGACGGAGGGAGTACTTTTCTTTCAATCATAGAACACTAACCAGATATTCCCTCCGTCCCAAAATAAGTGACTCAACTTTATAGTAACTTTGCACTAAAGCTAGTACAAAGCTGAGTCACTTATTTTGGGATGGAGGGAGTACTTCTTATTGAAAACCCCAACGTTCATTCCAATCATAGAACACTAACCATACACAGTACTTTTCAAAGAAAACCCTAACTCGTAAACCATGAAATGATTTCCGTAATAGTAACAGCGAGCGAAGTGAGAGCAGTTAATCATGAAAACAGGGCAAATTGCTTCATTCCCCCAATAACCTCCGCAATCAGACTCGTGTCTGCACAAATAAGAGCCACTTTGCCCTTTTTTGCTGTCATCGTGATAAATACCATCCAGTCCAGGAAACATGATTAGTTTTTCCTGACTTTCTTATTGACTTTTGGGGGGAATGAAGCAGGTAAATACCGCCACAAGCATCGTATCCCTTGCATTAGTCACGCCTTATACCAAGAATCTTAGCACTGTACTCCCAGGCAACAATCGCTGCCGCATTGGCAGGGAATGCTCTTGCCAGTGTTGGCCCAAGACCAGCATAACATCCAGCCAGACCAGCTCTCCTATAGACCTGCAGCATTTCAGGCATAGCAGCCATGATCAAGCAAAGGCAATATATCTATCTAACGAAAACAGAAGATCATGAACCATCGCAGGGCATGTACCATGTTTAAAACCCGAAATGGATTTCGGCTCGACTGAGGGTTATGATCTGTCTGAATAATCGTTTTGGCAACATCCATTGGCAGGGTAGCTGTCCAGAACTGCAGAGTGCAATACTAGTCAAATTGAAGAAAAACGCATCTTACAATAAACTTGAAAGATTACGGTATACGTACAGCCATCCCACTGAGGCCACCACTCATGATTCCTATCCCGATATCTTTTGCCACAACCAAGCCACTGTTGCTAGAAAATTGCCGAGAATCTATATAGTTGTGCATCCAATATCGGCTGTACTCATAAGTGCAGAAGAAGACAGCATTGCCAATTGCCTCTCTGTACAGTGTTGCTAAACCACCACGAAATATACCCCTAACCTGTAACATAATAATAGATCCTTAGACTAGACACAATTTAGAAGAGCTTGCAGAAGGCCATTAAGCTCACCCCTTCACGCTGCAGTGTTTTCACAGCGCAATCTAGAGGGCTGGAGTACCGTGTCGCATACATCACATCCTTCCCTTGAACTTGCATTCTGCACTGGAGATTTCTTGAGATTACATCACTAAATGTCACCTGAATCATGCCTCCTGTGTACTCGCTAACAACTGTAAAAAAGAGAGATTGATGCAGGACTGACCTTGGTCAGCTCAGTCGGAGCAAGGATGCAGCTGATCAGGGCTCCACTGCAGGCAGCAGCAGGAATAATTACCTGCAGCCGCGGCTTACAATCCTCAGATTTTCCCTAAATTTAAAATGAACAGAGTAATTTAATAACTAAGATAAGGCCATGACAGAAGTATTTGCATTCCACCTGCAATTGGTATACCAAAGGAAAAAAAATACCTGTAGTAATTGTTTGGCTTGTGCATATGTGCCAAAAAAAAGGGAGCTTTCAAGTGCTATACCAATAAATGAAGATGATGCGCCTTTATACAACCCTCTTATCTGTCATGGAAAATAATCATGCAATGAACTTCCAGTCATATGTTGATAAAACTGTATGCTATCAAAAATGTAGATGAAGTAATCTATTGCAGTTTTCAGTTTAATACCTGTAGGTTCTAAAATTGTGCCTACCATTAACTCCAAAGAAAAATGGTAATTTGATCCGTTAACAAGATGAATGATGACAGCTCATCCTTTAATAAATTGTTCTAACTAGTAGAAAGATGCAATGAAAATGCTGTCATAAGATAGTTGATTTTTTTGTAATTTCCTTAGCTTCGTGAACTAGTCATGTATTAGAGGACTATATTAAATGAGTCTCCATAAAATCATACTTTCAATTGATAATAGTCAGATGAATACACAATGCAGTACTGTTAACTGAAAAAAGTTGCCAGTTTCATTTTGTTCTCTATGGAACAGAACATGTATATGTGGGACTAGAAAAACACCAGGTGCTTTGTATAAAAGCAACACACTCGATTAATTGAGTAATACTGAGTACAAACTAAATCTAAAGTGAGACATACAAAAGAAGGGGCTTACTCCTTCCTCAACCAGTATCCTACTAGTGCAGTGGAATGCATTCTTGTAGACCTTTCCGTGAGCCCTGGTGTTGTGAGCTTGCAATTTGACCTATTGATGAACAAAGTTATCTTGAATTCACATGGGGAAAATAATAAAGAAAATGGTTAACATATATTCCATCTAGGGATGCAGGGCGGGGTCCTGCATAAGCCCGCCAAAGTGGGAAGTTAGTTCAAACTGAACTGCATCACTAAAAATTTGCTATAACTAAGCTGAGCCTGTTTTGATTACAGAGCGGGGTGGATCGGGCGCCGCCCTGGATCCCTAATTCCATCCAAACTGCAGAGTTTTGCCTAATATATGCACAGGAAAACAAAAATATATTCTGGGCATTCTCATACACTGGAATAAACAAGAGAGTATCCTAATTACAACAAAAGAAGTACAATTAGTTTCCCAGTTTGCCAGCATCACCTCGCATGCCATTGGCAGCCAGACCTGTATGTAATCATAAAGTGACACAAAAACCTAGAACATGGACCTTGGGGCAACCATGCTTCTGTAGGGAGCAATGCCTTGTTTGGAAACTACAATGTAACATTGCTTAGTATGCCTCAAAAATCTCCAACACCGTCATTAGAAAAACACACTACTGTATGACGGTATGAGTTAACGAACAACTGGTCAGGGCCTCAAAGAGTTTAATTGTCAAGCAGAAAATCCTAGAACTAAGTCAAGACAATGAAACAATAAGATCCTACGGATATGATCATTTTTGGATGAAGTGTTTTATTAGGTAGCACCTGTGCAAACATCCAAAAAAATCCAAACTCAAAGAAGATAAAAGGCTTGGCATGTCCTGAATCAATGCAGTAATGCATGCGCGGTCGAATTAAAAGACGGCAAGTACAACCAGCTGAATTTGGAATTGAACACGACTGATATGAATGCCAGGTATTTCTAAGCACACTCAAAAGCCGGTAATATCAACCAAACTACCTACAGGTATCTCTCCATACTTCATCATCAGAACGATCACAACGGACAGATAGAGGGAATGATGAAAAGAGAAAAGTATTCTCAAGCAAGCAGTAACAAACATTGAACTTGCAATCTTGTAGCAGCAATTAGTAACAACAGCAATCATAATCTAATTACCTGTCAATACCCCCTCTCATTTAAATTCTTAGCCACAGCAATTTTAGGCCCGTTTGAGGGGCTTTACTCGGGCTCGATTTGGCTTATGAACCCAATACCTTGAATTCCTTGAGTTCTTCGTCACTAGCTGTTTACCTATGTAATGGGCCTCAATTCTGGTTTTAAAAGCTGTGTCATTATCCAACTTCGCGTGTGTTTCCTTTTGGCATTACGAAGTCTATCCCTAACAGGCATTTGATCGAACAGCAACGCTGCGGCCATAGCACAGCGTACAAAAACACAACCAGAGCACAGGAGCACAACAGATCAAATTACCGGCGTGCGGACGCACGCAAACACCAAAAGATGGATAAAAAGGGAAGCGAAGAAGAAAGGAAAGAGAATTTACCTTCACGGTGTCGAAAGGGTGGCCGACGACTACCTGGGCGACGCCTGCAGCAGATCCAGCGATGTATTCCTTGGCGGCGTCGCCTAAGCCAGCCATACCAGAAGAAGCACCGCAGGCGGTCGTGCAGCGCTGAATAGGAAAACGTCGAAGCAGGGAGCAACGGAGGTTTCCGGCCGCACGCCGGCGCCGGCGCTCGAGGGGAAAAGGAAAGCGCCGAGTCGTCGAGCAATGTTTTTTCGCTTCTGTTTCGGCAGGCGGGGGTCGTCCGGTGAGAGAGCAGAGAAAGGGAATGTTGTTGATGGGCTATCGGGGGCGGATGATATGGCCCATTTGGCCCAGTGTTTTGGGCTTCTCGAGCGGTTTTATACGTAAAAAACAACCCCTGCCTTCAAAAAAAATGAAACACTGCCAAGTCCCATAAACCTTGTTCTAAAAAAAATCCCACAAACCGTGTCTGCCGTCTAGCACCCCCACACCCCTCCGTCCCACCATTTCCCCTCCCGCCCACATTCTCGATCTGCATCAGCGCCGCCACCAAGTTAGATGAGGGCCTTAAGCATCTTCAACAGCCGTGCCAAAAGGCGCGCGCGTGGTGAACTGAGTTTTCAGCACGCGCGAGACGTTTTCGCACGCTCCAGCGGTGGCGGGAAATTAGCGCGCGCGGAAATCGTTTGCGCATGCGCGGGAAAAGGCGGCAGCTCGCACGCTATTTTTGGCGCACCGCTTCCAGCATGTCTTTAAATTGTGGCGCTCGTCACGCGGCTATTCCACATTCTCTCTTCCTCTTTCGTTGCCACGCGCGCCTCCCCCGCTTCCTCGTTGCTTCCTCGCCGCTCCAGCGCCCCGCCACCGACGCGCCACCATGACGTCGCGCCGTCGAGGAGCGTCGGGCTACCGCGGCGTCCGCCAGCGCCCCAACGGCTGATACTACTCCGAGATCCGGTCCGGCGATGTCCGGCTCGGCCTCGGCACCTTCGAGACGGCGCACGAGGCCGCCCGCGCGTACGACGCGACGGCGTGGCGCCTAGGCAGGCCGCGCCCGCAGATGAACTTCCAGGACGTCTACACGCTCCAGCAGGCGCTGGACGTCGCCACTCCGCCTCGTCTTATCACGGCACAAGACCGTGCGGAGCACGCTGAGCGGCAGCGCTGCCTCCTCATCGCCGAGGAGGACGAGCGGGCCATGGTGGAGTGGCGCCGGCGCCACCCGGAGGACATCGCCGACGAGCAAGCCTACTGGGCGGAGCAGACGGCAAAGCGTCACGCGGACCGGTTGGACATGCGTCGGCGGAAGGCCCTGGCGTTATCGCAGTGCGAGATCGTTGAAAATGGTGGGCAGTCGATCTTTTCGGCTAATGATCCTCGTTGAGACGACATGTGGCTCGATACTTCGGACCAGACCAGCGAGGATGACGGTGATGATGATGACGACGACTGGGAGTAGGTTGTAGTTTATCTAGTTGCACTATCTAGTAGTTTTTTATGTCGTTGCAGTTTTTATCTATCTATACTGTGGAACTATGTAAAAGATCTATGTATCGTTTTTATCTATGATGTAAAATATCTATTTTAAAATATGTACGCAATGTGCGTGGGATAGCTCGCGCTGCATTTTAGCGCGGCTGCTGGAGCCAGCGCTGTCCGCCGCGCTTTTTCAGACGATGGGCGCGCTGCAGATTGCTTTTTAGAGCGCCGCGCGTTGGGCGGGTGTTGGAAATGCTCTTATGACGATTCTTTTGATCTAGCTCGATCATGTAGGGCTGTCCTTCTTACCTAGTTTTCTTTTATGAAATCAGGAAATTTTATTAAAAATGAGCAAGGTTACAATCAGTAACCAATAGGCATACTATGGCACTAGAGGCATCTTGTAACCACATGTCGATCAGGTTCTCCACTCGCAACACATTAGCCAACAAAGTTACAAGTTCATTCGCCTCGTTGACAACATGGCCCATGCATGATCTATCCAGCCTTGCTTCCGTAAATGCAACAGTTACCTTTGTGTTATTTGAATGAATATGACTAATTGACATGTACAGTTTACATCATGTGTTTGTTCATGTTTTTATACCATATCACAACAATTCATTGTCTTTTTACCGCGGTTGTGTTGCGAAATGTTCTAAATGTATCTATTTTTCGAGCACATTTGCTTAGCTTTTGCCTTCTAGACTTGCCAAAAGTGAATGAAAACTAACAAGACCGATGATTTTTTTAGCAAAATCACAATATGGTATCTGCTATTGTGCATGTATAAATTTCAGGTGGAAAACAACACAAAAAGATATGCACAAAAAATCAAAGGAGAATACTGCCTGCTAGAGCTAGGCCCCTAGGGAGGTCTAGAGCGGCCGCATGGCGACAAACTCTTAAGTAGAACCACTCACATCATCTAAAAAAACACTTTAGGCCCTTCCCGGTGCTCCAAGGTGTACAGGTGCTAAGGACGCCACATAAGAAAAATAGTGATGTGGCAAAGCAATTAAAGAGGAGAGAGAGCATTATGGTGACCCAGGAAGAAACGGTGCTAAGCACGTGAACCTATGTAAAGTGACTACCAACCAATACATGAAGGAGATTAATTATTAAACAATTCTATGAGGGAAGCTTAGCTACAAAAGCTAAGCACCTATACATTGGTGGGGGGGTGAAGGAAATATGCCCTAGAGGCAATAATAAAGTTATTATTTATTTCCTTATATCATGATAAAAGTTTATTATTCATGCTAGAATTGCATTAACCGGAAACATAATACATGTGTGAATACATAGACAAACAGAATGTCACTAGTATGCCTCTACTTGACTAGCTCGTTAATCAAAGATGGTTATGTTTCCTAACCATGGACAAAGAGTTGTCATTTGATTAACGGGATCACATTATTAGTTGAATGATCTGATTGACATGACCCATTCCATTATCTTAGCACCCGATCGTTTAGTATGTTGCTATTGCTTTCTTCATGACTTATACATGTTCCTGTGACTATGAGATTATGCAACTCCCGTTTGCCGGAGGAACACTATGTGTGCTACCAAATGTCACAACGTAACTGGGTGATTATAAAGGAGCTCTACAGGTGTCTCCAAAGGTACATGTTGGGTTGGCGTATTTCGAGATTAGGATTTGTCACTCCAATTGTCGGAGAGGTATCTCTGGGCCCTCTCGGTAATGCACATCACTTAAGCCTTGCAAGCATTGCAACTAATGAGTTAGTTGCGGGATGATGTATTACGGAACGAGTAAAGAGACTTGCCGGTAACGAGATTGAACTAGGTATGGGATACCGACGATCGAATCTCGGGCAAGTAACATACCGATGACAAAGGGAACAACGTATGTTGTTATGCGGTCTGACCGATAAAAGATCTTCGTAGAATATGTAGGAGCCAATATGAGCATCCAGGTTCCGCTATTGGTTATTGACCGGAGACGTGTCTCAGTCATGTCTACATTGTTCTCGAACCCGTAGGGTCCGCACGCTTAAGGTTACGATGACAGTTATATTATGAGTTTATGCATTTTGATGTACCGAAGGTTGTTCGGAGTCCCGGATGTGATCACGGATATGACGAGGAGTCTCGAAATGGTCGAGACATAAAGATTGATATATTGGAAGCCTATGTTTGGATATCGGAAGTGTTCCGAATGAAATCGGGATTTTACCGGAGTACCGGGAGGTTACCGGAACCCCCCCCCCCCGGAGGTATATGGGCCTTAGTGGGCCTTAGTGGGAGATAGGAGAGGTGGCCAGGGATGGGCCGCGCGCCCCTCCCCCCCTTAGTCCGAATAGGACAAGGAGAGAGGGGGCCGGCGCCCCCCTTCCTTCTCTCCTCTCTCTTTCCCCCCTTCAC